GTCCAGGGGTTTTACAGAGAAATCACACCTTTGGCACAGAACACATGTCAACAAAATGCCCAGGAAGGCCACAATTATAACAGATAGCTCCAATGATTTTTGGGTCAACTTGAAACATAATGCTCTTATAAGTGTTTTTTTACTAAAGCTGAGGAGTGCTAGCAGCAGGGGCTTGTTGCTTCCCTGCATTTTGCTTTCTCTTACTTTGGCTAGTACCCGGTTGTCCAGATTGAGCGCCACTGCTTGAGAGGCTACCTCCACTTACTACTGCTTCTTGCTGTTGATAAGGCATGGTCAAGCTTTGAGGTGGAGGCATGAATTGGTAAGGAAATTGTGGCTGTTGAGGCCAAGGACCAAGCTGTTGATACTAATTATTCCTGTCGGATACCCAGCAAACACGTGCCCCCCTGCATAGGTAAAGGTGGAGCTGCAGCCATATGGAAGATAGGTGGTTTGGCATATATATGGATATGGGTGGTGGATGTGAAGTGGGAGGAGGAGGAACGTGTGTGGGATCTGGTGGCAGAGAGGTATTAGTACCAGCGGCTAGATTTCTACCAGCATTGCGTCCCCTACCAGCACCATAGCGACCCCCTCTAGAACTCTGATCACGTCCACGTCTAGCCATACCATGGACTACATCAGCAAAAGGGATCTTACTAGTTTTCCCAGCCCAGAAATCTCATGAAAATCTAAAGTGCGTCGGTTGCGACAACTGATCAGAAGCACCAATCGGATAGCAATCCTCGGCAGAAAAGTCTCCAGACACAAGCAGCTCCTTCCTAACCAAGACCTGATTTGGTGGAGGAGCTTTGCGTTGACGAACCCTAACTTCCCCCCTCTCTCCAGAGTCGATTTGATCCCCTGAGAGAGGAGCCGGAGGCGGAGGTGGGGAAGTCTTAAATTACTTGTCTTAGATTTATGTAGATACAAATATATTTAACAGTAAAACATGTCTAGGCGAACCAACCTAGAGGGACAGTGGTATCCCCAGCCCACCAGGGTTCAAGTCCCGGTGCTCGTATTATTACTAGATTTATTTCAGGAATTCCGGCGATACGTTTTCAGTGAGAGGAGACGTTCCCATCGACGGCGAGGCGCCTACGCTAACTTCGTAAATCTCAAGATGATATGCCGGCTCAGTCTCTCGAAATTACTCATAGAGATATAGTGTGCATGTGTGCGGTTCATAGTGGTAAGTTTATGTGCGTATGTATGAGCGCTTGTGTCTGTATTGTGTTAAAAAAACATATCTAGATACGAATTATCTAAGATAAGTATTCGGGACGAGGTTACTTGTTTTGGTTTTTACTTTGTTTTTAGCCTTCTTTGCGCGGAGTTTTCCTAGCAATTTAAATACGTGTCCGAGAGAAGAGTGTGCTCGGATTTATTTGAAGCGTCGTGTTCGTAGATACCGACGGTCCGGAGAGAAGGGGGACAAAAGCGCAATCGGATCGCTTCGGGTGCAAGTGCATTTGTTTACTTGCATCGCGTGCGTCAACAAACCCTTTTCGCGTGCACGTGAGAGGCTGGAAAGAATCGGACGGGCTCGTTTGCATCGACGCATCCTCTGAACCATTATTAATCCCGTATTTTATCAAGGGGTTGCTTAGGCTCTAGATTAATTATTGATGACACTAACTTTTGATTTGTCGGTGCAGATACCTTTACTCCATCAGAGGAACAAGTTTTAAATAAACAGATTTTAAGATATCTGTCGCAAAGGTCTGGGTGGTGTGGTTGGTTATCACGTTGGTCTCACACACTAAAGGTCCCCAGTTCGAACCTGGGCTCAGACAGTCAACCTTTTTTATGTTTTTTTGCTCCAGAGAGAGAGCATAGATTTTACAAAAATCTGATCAAACTTGGCATGCTTCTTCTTGCATTCAGAGAAGCATTTCAGAGAGTGAAAGTAGCAGCAGTGGTACAACAGTGGGTAGGAACACATGATACTAGATGGTTCATGTCTTATACTCCCTCCATTCGGAATTAGATGTCGCGACTGCTTTTTTGTGAAAACCCCCTTCATCTATCTCCGACCAAACCCGCGGTCCTCGCCCTCACTTTCT